TGATTTTTCTTAAGTATTTCCTAAGATTTCACTAGCCATGATGGAAATGAGATCAGAAAACTGTAAAAGTAAAATACATAGCAGAACAAGATCCTAACTTTCTTATACAGAACAATTATAAAATAAATCATTTTTTTCAATTAAAAAAAAATACATAGCAGGTTAATTGTACTAGCCTCCTAAACTGGTCTCTCTGCTTCCACACTTGTCTCTGCTGTCTGTGGTCAAAAGAGCAGCCAGCCAGGGAAAGCTGATTAAAAGATAATCAGACCATGTCACTGCTCTGCTCAACACCTTTTAATGGTTTCCCAACTCCCAGTAAAAGTCAAAGTCCTTATAAAAACTCACACCATCCTACTGCCTCTTCCCCCCACCTCCTCACTCCAGCCCCATGCTCTTCCTTAAACACATCAGGATCTCCCCAGATATCTGTGTTCCTTCACCTCTTTCCAGTCTCACTTCAATTCTCACCTTCCCAGCAGGGCCTTCCCATTCTCCCTATTTCAACCTGCAATCCCCCAGCGCCCTCTCTGCTTTATGTTACTCTGGAGCACTCTCACCATCTAACATACTCTACATTGTAGTTTACCTATTTTTCCGGTTTACTGTCTGCTTGTCTCCACTTGAACGTAAGTCCCATGAGGACAGGGGTTTTTATTTTGTTCACTGTTATGTGCCCTGGTTCTAGAACAGTCCCTGGCACACAGTAGGTGCCCAATATATATTTGTTGAATGAGCGAATGATTTAAGCATCGGTTACTCTACAGGTACATTCCAAGGCTTAGCTGATTAGACACCCAGCAGCATCAGGCCTGAGACCTGCCAGAGCACATGAGTTTCATGATAACAAAATACATTCTGAACACTGAGCTGCAGTCCTCTCCCCGCCCGACCCCCGATCTTCAGGAGCTTCACAGACACGTAGAAACTGAGCAAGAGAGCTTATACCATGACTCAAATTAGCACTGCCAGATACAAGAGCTCCAGCGTTGGAGACGTAAGGCTGGGTAGGGCAAGGGTTATTACTAAGAACATGAAGGAACTGTTCTCGATTTTGGACAATGGAATCTGAATCTGTAAATGACCGCTTCCTTTAGTGCTCCAAAGAAAGTTATTCCAGATGAATAAGCTTGCCAGCTCTGTCCTGTAAATAACAACAGCTATTTCCTTTCCTGAAAATCCACAACCTGGAAATCAGATTTTTCAAACGACTAAAATAAAGCACAACCTGTCTGGACAGAAAGATCAGGCTTTATGTTGTGAACGGGGTGAGGGTTCCATGAGTGCTTTACCAACATTATACACACTATGATCAGTACTGGCTGACTTGAATCGCAACGCTTGGACACAGAATTATCACACACAGATTCTGCTTGCACAGAATTACCACTTAAAGCACTAAAATTCTTCCCTCGTAATTTCTGCCCTGTTAAGTGAAATGAGAATCAGGCTATGGGGCACAAAACAAAATGATTAATCCTTTCCATATCCTTTCAAAACAGTAAATAATGTTCTGGAGGCTGGTGTTCACCTCGACAGAACACGTCATCAAAACACTTGAATCACCTTGGAATCAGAATTCTAGGCTGGACACCAAGCAGAACAGACAAAGACCACGAGAGACCTTATTTTATAAGAAAATATTAATTTCCTCACAATGAAATTATTCAAGTCATCTTAAAATGACATTTATTGAGTACCTGTTATATGCCAGTCACACAACTAGATATTTTCACATTATCTTAAACAACTCTCATAGCAAATGAGGTAATGATCTATATCCCTATTTTCCAGGTGAGGAAATTGAGGATTCCAGAGAATCAGAGATTTTGTCTAAATGGTAGAACATGACAGTATCAGAATTCAAATCTAGAACTCTTGACTCCAGGCTCTGTGCTCATACTACTACACTACGGAAGCAGGGAAAAAGCCTGAAAGAATTGTAATAGATGCAATGAAAATTGTTCCTAATCAGATTTTAGTAAAGGCCTCTCACCTGAAAATCCAAGATATTATTTCCAGGACCTTGTAGGGTTTCACAGAAATTAACAAAGATGGTCACTTAACTATTCAATCCCTTTATCTCATGAATAAGAATATGAGGAATTATTTAGCTTTTAGCATCTCCTTGCCCATAAAAGAAATTAACTTTTACACCTAATAAAGATGACTTTTAATTTCATTTCCCCTCAAATGCTGTCTTCAAAAATCAGAGGCTTTAAGATGGCTGGGAAGAACCTTTGCCCCTCACTTCAAAAATCAAAATATTTTAAAGTGTCAGGGCTGCTGAATTATAGCAGGGACAAAACATTTCAATTTTAATCAGAAGATGATATTCTGTCAGGGTAATAACTAAGTTTAACTGTTTTTTCTTCTTTAAGATCCACATACTGAAAGGTTCAGAAAGGAGGCTACATGAGAGTGCTTGTGATTTCTGTATCAATTAAGACTGTTATAAAAATAAACTTACTATCATGGCCTAAAGGGCTTATGGATGGACTTAGCATCCCTGTTATAAGTTGGCTACAATTTCACTTCTGGGTTTAAACCAGAATGAGTTAGCACAGACTACACAGACAGAGGTATGATTTTTGCACTCAAGCCCTGTGCTCCAAAGAATGAGGAAAAGAGGAGGACTCTGGGAAGTGCCTTGTGATGGACACATTGAGGGTGGTGTAGGCTTGACTTCTCAGACCAGGAGCTGAAATGCTCAGGGACTGCCCGATGTTGCTCCTTTTGCAAATGAGCTGAAAGACTTCAGTTGAGCGCTTACAATTTTTATATGGTGTTTTTCCTTTCTGGAGCAAAGTATCTGAATCAAGCTCCTGGGGCTTACCCACATTAAAACTGGAGGAAATTGCCCATCTGACACCAAAGGCCACGTCTGCAAAACAGACATGTTATCTCCCGTGACCCCGAAGACGTATTTATGGAACAAGTTCCAAAGGCCAAGGAACAATTTGCAAAATCTTTGCCAAACCAGCCTCCAGTGAATCGGTAAACTCAACACTGGTGTGCCACACTTGGTTAATAGGTGAGTATCTCTGGAAAACCCCACAGCTGAAAAGGCAGGATCATTTCACGCCCATGGGGGATTGGGAGGGAAATGCCAGGCTACCCAAAACCATCCTTAAAAAGGGATTTAACAATTAATTCTGGAATCTTGTCACTAGGAAAACAAACAAGGTCATCTCATCTATTTGGCTGTGGGGCGGGGCCGGGGTGGGGGGAAAGAAATCACTCTCTCTGAGGCATCTGTTATTTAAAACGTGATGGGGCGGGATAACTCTTCCTTTAAAAACACCCTAACCAGGGACTTCCCTGGTGGCACAGTGGTTAAGACTCCACCTGCCAATGCAGGTGACACGGGTTTGAGCCCTGGTCCGGGAAGAACCCACATGCCACGGAGCAACTAAGCCTGTGCGCCACAACTACTGAGCCCACGCACCACAACTACGGAAGCTCACACGCCTAGAGCCCGTGCTCTGCAACAAGAGAAGCCACCGCAATGAGAAGCCCACGCACCACAATGAAGAGTATCCCCCGCTCGCCACAACTAGAGAAAGCCCGCGTGCAGCAACGAAGACCCAACGGAACCAAGCAACCAGCCAACCAACCAACCAAAACAAAACAAATGCCCTAAACCATGTGGCTCTTCTTGGGGAAAACAGTTAAGCAGTCAAGACTTGCTCCTCTACTTCTCTCTTTTCCTCCCACACATGGCCTCTGCTAAGGTAATTCCAGAATGTTATTTATTTACTAGAAACCTGACTTGACTTTGCATAAGGATCTGGAGGAACAAATCCGACCCTGAGGAATCCATTAACCTCCACAGACTTTTTTTGGGGGGGTGGGGGGGTGGGGCACCAAGAGGGGGAGCAGGCAACACCAAATATTCTGAGATTCAGAAGCAGCAGCTGGAGAGAAAGGTGCATGAGGCTGGGAGAGGTACAGGCTAACCCTCTCCCCAGCTCCAGTTTCCAAATGGAAGGTGGGGTTTTCAAAGGAGCCTCACCTGCTGGGTGTCCCCACCTGTGCCAACTCTTAGAGGAAAGGAGGCAGTCTTGGCGCCAACCCCAAAGAGGAGCATCCCAGGGCCCAAGGTGTAAAACAGACAACCTGGCAGAAATTCAGAGTCTAAATAGGAACAACTCATACCTCTGAGCAATGGATCTGACATTCACCTAGTCCAGTGATTTCTCAGGAATGAATCACTTAAATACACCTTGTTTAAAAACAAGCACATATGACTTAAAAATTACTTTCAATAGAAAACCAATGTGGAGAGCAAGGAAGCTCAGGGAGGCTACCTTGGTAGATTTGCACGGGGGGAAAGGGAGAAATCTGATAGCTCTCTTCCCCTTGACATCCTGCGGGCCACAACTACATACTCCTGAATTCAAGCACGAATCTGGCAGGTTTTCCGTGCCTCAGTGCGGGCAGCGGCTAGCCGCGTGGGAAGGCACTTTCCAGGCACTGCCCAGGGTGACCGACCGAAGGTAACAACCACCTCCTCCCTCCCCCCGGGAACCGGACCATCCCTGAGGTTCAGGTGCCTCTTCCAGTCCAATCGGGAACCATCATCCACACTCAATCCCTGTCCGGACAACGCATGGTTCAGGAAAAAAGGGGTGAGCAGATAGGACTTAAAAAATTAAACCACATTTGCTTCCATACGGGAAGAACCGAGAGCTCTTGCTTCCCTTTCTCCCTTGCAAGCCCCTTTGACCATTTTGGGTAAAGCAGGAACCCGCAGCTCGTGGAACACCCAAACGGGAGTCCCGGAGGAGCTTTGTTCTTTGCACGCAGAAATCAACACCCTCGAGGGTAAGCCCCCGCGTGGTGTCCGAGGCGGAGGGGGAGCCGAGGGACCCGAGCATCGGGTGCGCCAGCGCCATGCCCACCCTCGCGCCCACCCTCGCACCCGCCCGCCCCACACGCGGCCTGGGCGCTGGGAGCGCGTGAGGGTGCGCGCGTCGTCCACCCGCCACGCAGCTCACCTAGCACCACCGCAGCCACGGTGGAGAGTAGCAGCCAATTATTCCTCAGGAAGCGCTTCCAGTCGCATCCCTTCTTCGCCGGCTTCCCCATGGCTGGCGCCCGGGCTCCGAACCACAGGAGAGGCGGCCGCTCTTGTGCGTGGGGCTCGGCCGTGCGCGCGAGGGCCGGTGGAGCCCGGGGACCGCCGGTGGCTCCGCGGCTCAGTGCAGGAGGGATGCGGGCGTGCTGGGGAGAGGGTGTGCGTTGGCCGCGGCGGCCGCCGGTGTCGCCGCCGCCGCCGCCGCCACCTGAGCTCGCGCGCCGCGCCTGCAGCCCCTGCTAGCTCGGTGGCCGTGCGTGGCGGACGCGCCCGGCTCCTCCTGCCGCCGCCGCGCTCTGCGGCGCCGCGGCCAACCAGCGAGGAAAGAGGGAGGAGCGGCCGGCCCAGGGAGGAGGGTGGGTGGGTGCGTGCGTGGTGCGCCCGGGGGTCCCGGTGGAGCAGGCGGGGGTGGGCTCCCACGCTGTGGCTGCAGCGGGGACGGCTACTCAGGGAACGCTGCGCTCCTCCCCAGCCTTAGGCTGGAGACTCTCGCTTTTTTTTTAAAATTTAATTGGTCAGGCTAGGTTTTCGGATTTATGGTTTCCTCCTCTCCCTAATCCAGAGGGGCGGAGTCGCTGGCCCCTTTGGTTTGGACTTCATTCGGCACACCAGCACGCCTCCTCTTTCTCCATACCAGCCACTGCCAGTGCAGCACCGCAGTGGGGAGAGTCGTGGGGAACTGAGTTCTGTCTTGGGTCCCATTTGCTTCTCCACTGCAGCCTCGGATTGGCCAGCAGCCTGGAAAGCCTCCTAGAAGCGTCTAGGAGGAGGGGGAAAAAAAAGAGTGCTGTGGGGGACGGTGAGCGGGACAGGACTTGGTGAACTTTCACACGAGGCCTCAAACTCCCCTGCCCCCACAGGTATTATTAACTCCCCTCCTTAAGCCGAGGGAGGTGACGCTCCCACAGGATGGTCTGTGGACCCAGGGCTTGGAATGGGCCCTCTTAGAACTTCACTGCCGCTCCTTGCGACCGGCTCTGTGGCCGCGCAAGGCCCCAAAGCTGTGAGACTTGGCAGAATGATTGGGACTGAGAACCCGACCGAGCAGTTCTGAGGAGAAGGTGGGCGGGCCCATCCCTAAGGCCAGATGCTTTGGAAAGGCAAACACAGGAGAGGTGGAGAAACTAGGTAAGTGCAGCTAAGTGAATTTTCTAATTCTCTTCCATTCTTCTACCCAGTTTTTTCACCCTCGCTTATACAAAACTTTTTCCTTCCCTTTTACCACGCCACCACCTCTGCAGCTCCAGTCTGCCTTCTCATTAGCTTTCCTAACGTTAAGTCAGCCCTGCACCTTTTTGCTATTGTAGAGTCTCCTCTGATTGGGGAGGGTGGGGGAATCTCCCAGCTAGATTTTCTGGTGACTAACCCCTCACAATTAGAGCTCCATTCCTTTGGCTTAAATTGACAGAAGTGTCCTTGAAGAGAAAATAAGTTTTATGAACCATGTACACTTTAGTATGAATGAGTTTATCAGCTCCTTTCCAAAAAATAAATTTTGAGAGAAGGAAAGCTAGAGGGACACCAGTGTCACTGTGTGCCTGGGAAAGATTTGAAGAAATGCCAGAAGAATGGAAACTATTGAGAAAGAGGGGACAAAGACATCCATCCCACAGTAAAAAAGCTGGAAATACTCAGATGTTCAAGGTGAAGAGCGGTAAATATATTATGGAACTGCCATGTAACTGTACATTATGCAGCGTCTATAAAAGAAGTTTATGAAATTTCTAATAGCATAGGACAGCACATGTCATAATATGAGGGGAAACCGGAAGATGAAAATTGTATATATCACATGATCACAACTATGTAGAACAAAACCATGTACTTAGAAAAAAGTCTAGAAGGAAACACAAAATTTTAACAGTGGTCATTTTTGGGTGATATTATTACTTGAACCTTTTTGCTTTCTATTTTTCTGTATTTTCTAAAGTGTTTACCGTAAGCATACCTGTGCCCATTACAGTGTGCATAGGGCTGTATTTAAGAAATAAAGAGGGGCTTCCCTGGTGGTGCAGTGGTTGAGAGTCCGCCTGCTGATGCAGGGGACACAGGTTCGTGCCCCGGTCCGGGAAGATCCCACATGCTACGGAGTGGCTGGACCCGTGAGCCATGGCCGCTGAGCCTGCGCGTCTGGAGCCTGTACTCCGCAACGGGAGAGGCCACAACAGTGAGAAGCCCGCATATCGTAAAAAAAAAAAAAAGAAATAAAGAGGTCCTAAAGAGAAAAACATGGAAGAATCTAAGCAGACTTTGTACATCACAATTTTTTGAGGTGTATGTAGTGAGATAATTACACCTGGGTTTTGGGAGTAGGACATTTAGTTTTAAATCCCAGCACTACCATTTACCAGCTGGGTTACCTTGGGCAAATTGCTTAAATTTTTTTGTGTCTCAGTTTCTGCATCTGTAAATGGGGGCATTAATAGTATTTATCTCATGAGGGTATTGTAAGAACTGAATACTAGAATGTATGTAAAAGACTTAGAACAGTGTCTGGCATACAAGTGTCATCATGAGTTTTACTTGGGGGTCAACCTGGACAGGCATCTTTTTACTTCCTCTCGTTGCCTGCCTGTCATGAACACACCCTGAGCCACTTCACACACACAAGAACCCTGGTATACATATTTTTTATTATTAATTTTTATTGGAGTATAGTTGCTTTACAATGTTGTGTTAGTTTCTGCTGTACAGCAAAGTGAATCAGCTATACGTATACATATATGCCCTCTTTTTTGGATTTCCTTCCCATTTAGGTCACCACAGAGCACTGAGTAGAGTTCCCTGTGCTATACAGTAGGTTCTCATTAGGTATCTGTTTTATACATAGTAGTGTATATATGTAAATGCCAACCTCCCAATTCATCCCACCCCCCTTTTCCCCCCGGTATCCATATGTTTGTTCCCTACGTCTGTGTCTATTTCTGCTTTACAAATAAGTTCATCAGTTCATTTTTCTAGATTCCACATATAATTAATATTATACGATACTTGTTTTTCTGACTTAACTGTATGACAGTCTCTAGGTCCATCCACATCTCTGCAAATTGCACAATTACTAGAACCCTTGTATATTGGTCAATAGTAATTGCCTTTAGAATTACAATCAGTGGACCCTGAATCTATTGTACTTTCACACCTAAAGCCCATATAGTACATATTCATTTTATGCTTATTTAAATTATGCAATTTTAGGATAATGCAATATAAAAGAGTCTAAACATATACACTCATTTTGAAATAATTAAAATCTCCTAAATTAAAAATAAAAGTCAAGAATCGAAGAAGTTCAAAGCACATGGGCCAAGTGAATTATAAACTATGTTTATGCTATTGCTACATGGCAGGTCCACTTTAGCTGGTAATAAAAGGTAATTAATAAGCAAACACTTATAATACACTTAACATTTGCCAGACACCCTTCTAACCACTTTATACGTAGTAACTACTTTGGTCCTCACAACAACTTAATGAAGTAGGGACTATTGTTACCTCATGGGGCTGCTGGAAGAATCAAGTGAGATATTGTGTATTATTATTATCTTCATTTTACAGCTGAGGAATCTAAGGCAAAAAGAGGTTAAGTAACTTGCTTAAGTTCCCTCCATTAGTAAGAGAAGGATCAAGGATTGAACTAGGTGGTCTTGCTTAAACTAAATGCACAAACTGCATTAAACCAAAGGTCCTCAACCCTCGGGCCACGGACTGGTACCAGTTCATGATACCAGTTCATGGCCTGTTAGGAACTGGGCCGCACAGCAGGAGGTGAGCAGCAGGCAAGTGAGGGAAGCTTCATTTGCATTTACAGCCTCTCCCCATCGCTAGCATTACCGCCTGAGCTCCGCCTCCTGTCAGATCAGCGGTGGCAAACCCTACTGTGAACTATGCATTCGAGGGATCTAAGGATCTAGGTTGCGCGCTCTTTATGAGAATCTAATGCCAGATCACCTGAGGTGGGGCTGAGGCGGTGCTGGGGAGCGGCTGCAAATGCAGATTATCATTAGCAGAGAGGTTTGACTGCACAGTGACCATAATAAATCAATTGCTTGCAGACTCATATCAAAACCCTATCAGTGAGGGGCAAGTGACAAGCTGCATCTGGTGGCAGGCTTTAAGTCAGAATCCGACACTTACTTTAGTCCACACTTGGCCCACCCATTATTTTATTTACCACTTCTGTCCGTGCCTCTTTCCCACACTGCACACTTGTCTCAGTCACAGTTTTGGTAAGCCCACAAGCTAACCCTAGCCAAAATGAGTAAAAAACAAACATCACTGAAGAGCTTCTTTGAAGAGGGGTAAAGACCCAATGATGAGACAGCAGAAGACTCTAAGACTGCCAGCAAAATGAAAGCTGCATTTAAAAGAAAATACCAAGAGTCCTACTTAAATTACAGGTTCGTTGCAACAGGTGATTCACATTCTCCAAGCCCGCTTTGTATGATATGTGGTGACCGGCTCTCCAACGAAGCCAAGAAATCTTCAAAACTGCTTCGTCACATGGAGACCAAGCACCCTGCATTAAAAGACAAGACTTCGGAGTTTTTCAAAAGAAAGAAACGTGAACACGAAGAACAGAAGCAATTATTGAAGGCCACCACTTCATCAAATGTGTCTGCACGGATAGCATGGTCCTTAGTGGCTAACTGCATTGCTAAAGCTAAGAAGCCCTTTACTATTGGTGTAGAGCTGATCCTGCCTGCTGCTAAGGACATTTGTCATGAACTTTTAGGAGAGGCTGCAGTTCAAAAGGTGACACGTGTTCCTCTTTTGGCTATAGCACCATAACTAGATGAATTGATGAAATAGCAGAGGATACTGTGGCACAGTTGTTAGAGAGGATTAATGAGTCACCGTGGTATGCAGTCCAGGTTGACGAGTCTACCGATGTTGACAACAAGGCAACAATGCTTGTTTTTGTGCGATATATTTTTCAGGAGGATGTGTAGGAAGACATGTTATGTGCACTTTTGTTGCCAACCAACACCACAGCTGCAGAACTATTCAGTTCTTTGA